GGGGGGGGGGGGCGAAATGCGAATATTTAGTTATTATTGTCGTTAATGTTATTTTTAATATTTTTTATTATTTAAAAAAAAATTGAGTGAATATTATTTAATCTCGAATAATATCTGATAATTTTTTTTCTCAATTCATTTTAAACCGACTTTTTCCAGTATACGAAATTTGTTTTGAGAGCTATGGGCGATCGCCCCCTTCGTCCTCCCATCTGCCACTGCGTTTAGTTACATCTTCATTCTCTTTGTTTAATCGTATATTATGCATTTATATTTCTATTATACGATTAATCATTTGCTGCCATTAACTACTGATTAGAAACCATTTTTTCAGTGAAAGTAAAACAATGAGATAATCTTGGTCTTGAAAAAAGTTAACGAAATTTTATCTAAAGAATAAGGAGATGTTCATTATAATAATTTTTTTAAACTAAATTTGTGTATATGCAAACAATTATTGTTAAATAAATGCATATTAAAAATCACTCGTTATGATTATGATGATTACTATTACTCCACATTTCTTTCTATCTCTTCCTTATTCCTTATCAAAGCACTTCTAAAGTTCTTTACACCGATATAAAAGATATATTCGAAACTTATGAATAATTTATCTTTATTGAATAATTTATCTTTACACCTACTTGATGTGCGATTACGCTTTACGATCGTAAGCAGTTGATTGTGTATACTCGAAGTTCTTTATCATCCAAAGATGTGAGAGTGATCGTCGTTTCGTACAATAGAGGAGTCGTTGGTAGAATATGCATGGTCATTGGAACTTGCTGGTTGGATGACCTCACATCTAGACGTACATGTATTATTAAAAGTCTATTAGAGACGTATACAATTTACACGTAAATTGGAATACATGTGTATAGTATTTGTAGAGACAATGAAAGAAAGATATATCTCAAATTATATTATCGAGCGCGGAAGAAATTACATAGAAAAGAATTAATTTTTTTCGTATAATATAAAAAACTCGATTCTGTTTCTTAATTAAATAAAAAACAGAATTATATCCTATTTTTACATCTTCAAAATTTAATTCTTGTATTCTCTCTTTTAATCGTTAATTGTAATTCAAATATTGTAGATTTATATTTAATTTACATAAAATATTGATTCCAAATTATCCAAGAAGTTCATAGGTGAATGATAATATAAGACTACATTTTTTTGTAATTTTAAAAGAGGTAATAAAAATAAATTTTTTTTCCACTCAAAATGCCTTTTCAAATAAATTATCTTGTGTGAAAAGCAAATAAAGCATACGTCCCGAGTCTTACTTGCCTTGTATAGTGAGACTTTCTGGTAGAGTAAGAGGACTCGATTTATCCGAAATCGTAACTTTATACGTTACAGCAGTGTTAAAGACATGAACAAATTCCAGAGCTGTAGAATCAGTGTCACCTCCCATCAACCACTTTATTAATCGTAGCTCGATGTGGGTATCTAAAGCAATAATTAAAAGAAGATTAAAAACTGAATAAAAAAAGGTAGTAATATAAATGACAATTGTTTGTCCTGCAAAATAAATATACATTAAAGAGTAATTTAAAAAAAATCTAAATAAGCGTTTTAATATTTTCAGATGTCATCCTACATGAATTACCAGGATTAACGTACTCAAATATTTAGACCAGAACAGACGTTCCTGCGAGTCGAGAGTTTTTCGAAACATCTCGGCTACACATCTCCGCAGCTGAACATTGCAGGACGGTATGGGTACGCTAATGTTAAACGAACAAGTATCCTTGATGCCGCTTCGCTGATTTGAGCAAACGCATTCTCCTTGAGCCGACCACTCGACAACGATGTGATCATTGACCGACGTTTGCCAAACGGAATTTATCTGTTATGAGAAACGTATAATTTTACAAGATTTCGAGCATTTTCAATTTTTTTTTCCATTTCCCAGATCTTAAGTTTTCTCCGCGTTACTTATAGACGACTTTGTACTTTCGTTGGCCGTAAAACAATTCGCTCGTAATTATCAAGCGCTCACTTGAATAATAAAGTCACCCGTTTTCGCTCGGAAAATCAACCAAAACGTTCGTTGCTTAGGCGTGATGCACGCTACACTGATCGATAAATGCGTCTCCGATGCATCCTCAGCGACGACTATCGAGTCCTGATTCAGGAAAAGCCTTCTTGGTATTTTTCTTGTTCGCAGTTCGCACCATCGTGTCATTTTTAGGATCGCTAAAAATATCCGTGTTACAATTATGTCGCGCATAAAATTAAGAATAACGAAGCAATAACAAAGACAATGATTAGCTTATCTATATACAAAAATAATTAGGAAAGAACAATGGCCAATAACAAGCCATTGATATATGCTATTTAAAAATAAATAAATCTTTATATGTTTAACATTAAAAAAAACACTGAATTTCGACTGTGACAGAGTCGAGTAATAAAAAATTAAGAGACTTACATTATTAAAATGGTAAAATAAATAAAATTTGAATGTAATAAAAAATGATACGAACATTATAAAATCTGTTTGAGATAAAATCGCTTAATAGACTTCTCAAACAGATAGGCCAGCAACACACAAATATCTTAAAGTTGTACTTAAGAAAATTTTAAAGATTCTATTTTTTCTTACAGGAATGGCTCGGCCGTTCGTCCGTTATCCATATATCGTATTCTGCCGCATTTCGATACGGTACATCGATTTTCAGATTTGTCTCGACGATCTGGTACAGTTTGCTGCGTACCGTATGTTTGCTTGCAATTCCAAGATTATCGATATCACCTTCCAAGACGATAGTTTGATTTCTTCCGAAATGTGATCCAATAGCCCGTCCGCAAAGCACCAAGTACGCTGTCGATGAATTAATAAATCCGATATCGCACGTCAGAAAAATCTTTTTATTTTAAATCATTTGCAGGAATTTTATTTTAATTAAATATCAAAAGAGTAATTACGAAGATGCTTTAAATTTTTCATTTTGTTAAATTAAATGATCAAATGTCAAATGAATAAAGAATCTAAAATAAATTAACACTTTACCTCTGATTTTCCGTATTTTCTTAGCATGAAACTGTATTTGTATTTGGCCGCTGCCGTGCGCGTTTAAATGTAAGCCCGACACGGGTTTCAGGATGGTAAAAAACTGATTGACATCGTTCGCGAGCAACAATAAATAATTTACAGTATTATCCGTAGGATTCGAAACGCTTATTTGCTTCGTTACGGTTTGGGACAGCGGACAGTTAAATTTGATCTGCAATAATAAAGTAAATAACATACAGTAATGTTGCTACACACGTAATATGAGACTGGCCGACATTCAAAATTCGTTCTTATATTTAAGATGGTTTTAAGATATCATAAACCAATCACAGGCCGGTATTTCTAATCAGTTTTTATATTTTAGGTCACATAAATACAGTTTTACAGTTTTATAAACCAATCACACACAGGACGGTTTTGAAGGAAAAGATTGTGAATATCGGCCTATATGTTTTAGGATTAAAGCTTTCTATTTAGAAAGTATTAGTAAAAATATTATAAGGTATTATAATGTAAGAAAAATAGAGTATAATACATAAAGGGATATTAAATTTATGAATTTCCTTTTCTTACAAACCTTGGCGCGAGGTACATACGTCGGCAAAGCTTGGAAAAGATGGACAACCAACATTAACATTTGCACTTGATTCGGATTAATCAGTTGCATCGGCGTAATCATGAAGCCAAGTCGTATTTTCTTCCAAGCAGTGACTAGGCAAATAGCATTGTGCAGCATCTATAGACGATATTGCGAAAATTATGTAGTTTGCAATTATAAACATGTACGACGATTAAAAATTGAAGATATAATATCTGATTGAAATTTGGAACGTTTCTGAAGCGATTTAAAAAAAAGAAACGATTTGTCCCATTTCTTTTTTCTACTTTTACGGTTCGTGTAGCCGTAATCTTATTAATTCACTATTGTTTTAAATCTCGAATTTTAATGTACACAATTTTGATCATTTCAATCTTTAATGTATAATCTAATATACAGATTTTTTGGAGTCAAACGCTTGACGTTGAATTACCTCTTGTTTGTGTTTCGGGCAAATGTACAAAGTGCTGAAGCACTCGTCGATGAGGAAGGGACAGTAGGCCGCGGTGACTGCGATTAACACGAGGCCGTCCGACAAATCACGATGAAAATTTTGAATCGCTCGTTGCTCGGCCACATCCTGCTTTTCTCGCGGATTCAAAATTACACGGCGATCGGTCATCCAATCTCGCACGCGCTGCTGCTCGTAATGATATCGCAGCCAAGCCAGCAAAAACTTTTCTTCCGAGCAACGATCATCGGGAGCGAGTTCGTAGCCCGACGAGTTCACGATACTCTGAATGGCCCTCTCGTGGAGCTCGTATTGCCTCGGCAAGCTGGGGGAAAGGGTGTATCTCCAATTAGAGATGCGATTGTAAAATTATTACGTAACGCAATAACGAACCTCGAAACAGACGATACCATCGATTCCCGATACACCGTGGATCTCCTCGAGGGACGCGGGGACGACGACGTCCAGAATTTGTGCTCGTGTATTCCGCGGAGCACGAAACACTTGTACGTCTGCAAAATTACGTCCAACCAACATTGCTTGTTCCGCGATTCGAATAACTGTTGCGACAGCCGTTCGCGTGGTACACAGTTCGTATTGAAAGATTTTTTTCTTCTTCGTGTCTGTAATGTAATGAAAATTAACCATAGCCAGATGAAGTCGTATTTTAGTTAAAAATTATTTGTATATGTATATTGGATTAAAGGCCAAATCTTGTCTATTGTCATTCTAAACGAAGAGATCATGACTCGCAGCTTATAACTCATTAACTAACATTACTCTGTACGATGTCAATGCTAATTAAATAGTCGTCGTAATTGAGGAGAAATTGCGGCGAAACGTGGACTAAATACGCTCCTTGAGACAGAAGAAAGTCGAGCATCTTATTAAACAGCTGGAGAACATAACCGATTCTTTCGATGTCATTTTCAGGTAACAGCTGCTTCGATCTTCTTGAATGAAAAAAAAAACAGCAATGTACTCGCGGCGAGGAAGCATGCATATATAAAGCATGAGTATTTCAATATTACAATTCTCCTAAATAGGTGCGAATTTTTGGTCCCATGAGCGATTCGAGAACATCGATAAATGACAGCATAATCGAGCTGCTTTCCTGTTTAGAATTTCCTACGTGTGATATTTTCTTCGTACGGAAGTGCGAAAAAGCTGCCGTAATGCCATTAGGAATGTTTGGATAAAAACGAAATTCCAATGGCCCCGAATACATCCATTCTTCCACATTCGTCATTATTCTCTCCACGTGTTTCTCGTATTCACTAGTAAAAATTAATAAATGTAAGACATTTGTCAATTCGCTTCTATAGAATGTTAATTAACTATTAAATTGGTTATTCTTATAAATATTCAGCAAATCCTTAAAATCGGGAATGCTATAAAAAATATTGTGCTTCTAAAAATTAAATAATAAAATATTTATATACATCTTATTTCTTTTTATCCTACGCTTTTATATTTTCTCACAACAATTGTTTATATTAAAATTGTTAACTAACTAATTATTTTAATTTTCATTAATGTAAAGAGATCTGCTTTATGTTAAGCTCTGATCTGCTTTAAGTTTTGTAGAAGAACAATTTAACGTACCACTTTAAGTTTTTTCAGGAAAATGTATCTTTAATTCTGGCTCTAATTTTCTCTCAATTCATCTTAAGTTTTCTAATTACGACGTTTTGTATTTTTTTAAACTTACCCATTTCGACTGTCGGCGGGATAGCTAGGGTGCAATAATTTATCGGAGTATCTGCGATCCCTTGCTCCGAAAGCAACAGAAAACACGGAAGATCTTCTACGAATCGACATCCGTTTTCCATTTATTTGCATATTTTTGTCTATTTCATTATTATTTATTTCTTTCTTCCACTGTACTCTCGAATCTGTCGTTTCATTGACAAGACTTCTTCTTCGATTACCAAAATGCGACGTAATGCTGAGTCTCGGCTCGAATTCGAATAACTCATTCTGGATTTAAACAAATAGGTCATATAAACTAAAGTATATATGGCAAATGATTGTTCTATTATCTAAATAGATGCTTTATAAAGATAAAAATACACTAAAATTTAATATCACAGTATATTTTCTTCAAATAAAACTATAAAAAGGATTAGAGAAAATACGAACCATTAAGTCATAATTATTTCCAAAGAATGAAAATTAGAATTGATATAATTCTGATAAATTCAATCTCGAGTGCCACACATAAAAGAGATTGTAAACGATTTATTTTTATAATTTATGTCAGAATTTACGATAGAATTTTATTCATAATGTTATATACTTTATATACATATATGTGTAATATACATTAAGTATGAATATATGTAGTTATTTGTAGAATACACGTATGTCAAAATATACGACATATAAAATTACAAGCTGAATTCTATCTTTAAATCTGATATAAATTATATATATAATCTAAAGTGAGTTTTTCGCACAAAGTTATAATAAAATTTTAGTCTGATTTTAGATCGTTTAAAATGAAATCTATGCCAATCGCGTTTTATTAAGATTTATTCACGAATAAGTAAACATTGTTATCATCGTATTTACGATAGCAAAATCTGAATTTAGCGAAATTATATCGACGATCATTTCCTACTCTGAGAGAGAAGTATTTGTTACATGACAAATTGAAAAGTAAGAAAATAGAAACGCACGTATCTGTGTGTATAAGGAATTTCTCCATTGTCGTAATCGTCCTCGTCCAGGCTGTCCGATGATACTGATGGACACGAGACGCGCTTCTCCGAATATCCGGCGTATGTCTTATCAAAGCTGGACTTCATGAAATGCATGTACGTCGTTAACAAATTATTATCCGCTGTTGCATATACCGTTAAAAAACACCCGGCAAGATGCTCATCATCCGCGAATTCAATAGTTAAGCAAAACGACACTGGTCGATCGCTCTTGAACGTTACTCTTGCTTCCAGTTCCACGTATCTTGCAACAAAAAAAAAACAATTTCAAATATTTGTATACATATAGAATGTATGTTGCTTCAGTTAATTGGCGCGATCGAAAGTAATAAAGTATAAAGTATGAGTCTCCGCTACATCAATATTTAAATATTATTAGATCACAATTGTTCATTTTTTCAACGTTACAAATTCGCGTGAAAAAAAATGCTCCAACTCACGACTGGGGAGGGACGACGTTGCCGTTCGGAAAGTCGACGCGTAACAACTCGTCTTTGTAATCGCCGCTGCATCGCGGCGTCGTCAAAAAGTTCGGCCGTACAAACGTCGTGTTATCAAAGTGCCTCGCGCGGATCCTAAACTTTTCCTCCGCCGCCGTGCCGAGTGGAACAGGCGTAAAATATATCTCCGCCGGCTCGACGTCGATCGAACTGGCGGGGAACTCGCCGTCGAGACGTAATTTATTGAAGACGCCGTCGTCGAGCTCACCGCGAACGTATATCGGCGCTACCGCACTAAAGCTGCCGCGTTTCCTCGGCCTGAACTCGAGAACGAAGAAGACACCGTCGCCGGGACGTAGGGTGCACTCGATCGAATCTGGCGTTCTTCTGATCTCCGTGCCGCGAGACCACTCTATGGCGAACGGGCAATCAGTTTTGTTCAATTCTTCGATATCTATCGACATAACTATATCCCTCGGCGTCGCCCGATTCTCTATAAACAACTCATCGGACAGCTGATGAAGAATAAAAGAAATGAGCTTGTGAAATGCCTCAATCAGATGTAGAAATTTTTAATCACTTAATATAAAACTGTTTAGCTTAGTATCTAACACTTACACAGCCTATACGAGAATAAAAATATTTTATCTCATTGCATAGGAATTTTTCCTCCATATTTTTTTACACGTTTTTTTTCGCATGAATCTTTTTGTGCTACAATATTTTTATACTCGTATTTCTGGTTTTCGTTTTTTATTTCATCAGCACGTGCAGAATTGTACTTCGTTTGTCGCAGCGTTGAATCGAAACAGAAGTTTGCTGAAGACAATAACGTGGCCAGCCACAGTATAATCGATAGATATAGTCGGCAGCTTATCAGGCAGCGGCGTCATGGCAAAGCCCGGTAAATGCGCGTAATGACTTTCATGCGGTTTCAGAAATTCGATCGGTCGAACGCTCTTGGGATTCAGCATCGATACCGGACCGAGCAGTTGATTTATCACGATCGGCAGATAGAAAGCGTAGCTGGCCAAATCGACCGGTTGAAAGTGAAGATAGAGATTCTGACTCGCACCTGGGGCGATGGTTATCTCCTCCGTACCTTTTCGAATTTATCGAATGTACAAATAGCAGTCAAATTATCCGATTTATTAAATAAACTAATAATAATTTTCACTGACTAAATTATTACTTGTTGAAGTTATTAATCTTCGTTATTAAGCCTCGATCTACAAAAGGTGTAGCAGTAAATCTCTAGCATTTCCTCTAAGCTCTAAACTGTGCCTTTTTTCGGAAGCAAAACATTTCCGGCGCCGTCTTAAGCCGTAATCCTTAAACTTTAAACAAGCTTGCCAGATCTCAACTGTAAAGTTTAGAGCTTAGAACAAATTAACGTCACAACTCAGAGCTCAGAGTAAAAAGTTAAAGGCTTACTTACACCTGTTGCGGATGGGGCTAAGAAAATTCGAACTATTCTTTATTGAAGATATTTTTAAGTTTCGTTATTTTTATACTGCCGAGTCAGTTTACTTATTTCCGAGCTCTTGTCATTTGTCGACAGAGAAACGCGAAATTCGGGATGCTCTTCCAACAAAATCTGCAGTTTCAATAACGTTGTTCCAACGTTCGTGGCTGTTATCTGATGAGTTTGAAGGGCATCGACGCTGAGGCGTTTTATGCCTATTCGCTGCGGCAGAAGCTTCATTCGCGGAAACGATACGTTGCCGCTTATCTTATACTGTAACTGTAGGCACCCTTGAATCGTAACGGCAATTACGGTAGTAAAGCGACAGCAAACGTCGAGGGTAAGGTACACCTAAGCGACAACGAATGTCATTTGCATACTACGAAGTATTATCGTACTGACACGGAGAGAATCGTACCTCGAGAATCGCGATACCGCGCGGCGGTATTTTCCCTCGCAGCGGATTAACGTTGCAACCGCGTATCAGCGACTCGCTATCTATCTCGTACGTCATCTCGTTGAATTCGAAGTTCTGGAGAACGGCGATCACCTTCGTCGGCAAATTGAGAGGTATCTCTCCGAGATTCGCGTTGCCGTTCGCGAATTCGACTCTCGGCGCAAATCGCGGCGCGCGAAGTTGCAGAGGCACGCGACTTCCGCTCTCGCATATCATCATCGCTTGAGCGTAATTATCCCTCGCGTTACTGTACTCGTAGTACACGTAAGCGTGTAAAGCAGAGTTACCGCGCACGGAACCCGATCTCGGTTCTACGTGGAATCCAGACGTCGCTAGTACTTCCCACCTGTCAATAAATTTATTACTTTATGCCGAGCGTGTTTTTTTTTACTATTTTAATTGTATTCGAATTTTACAAGATTTATCGAGATTACAAGTGAACATTTAAAAAGATTCAATTATTCTTTATAGTTAAGCACTTAAAAATCTCTCGTTATTATTGAGATATTGATTCAGGAAGAAACTATGTCAGATGTGTGGATTTCAAACTCACATATTAATATTAGAATGATCTGCCTGAGAAACCTCTTATTTATTTAATCTGTATTTTAAATACATATAGACTGCTGTATTTGTTTTTTTAGTACATTTTATGTATATAATTGTCTCAATCATTTTGAAACTATCTATTTATTAAACACAAATTATCATCGTTTACACAGAAAGAAATGCATTTTTACCTGAAACGTATTTTCGCATTCAATCTATTTGTAATCTGGACAACAGAGGCCATTGGTTGATAAACCTCTCCTCTCGACCACTCCTTCCCAAATTCAATCTCCTTTTTGTCGATATACAGTTGCTTGTGAACGATGCAAGCGGTAATATTGAGCTCGAAAGAGTGATGGTCATTAATCACATAATTGATATATCCGTTAAACTTGCCAACTCCGTCCGCAAAATACTCGATTAATTTTGTCATCGTCGAGTCCGGTTGCAAGATCATGAAGTCACCTTCCGGAAAGTGGATGCACTTGGTTGAGAAGCTTATTAATCGTATCATCACTGGCATGTCATTCGTGTTCTTTACAGTCAAACGACGATAGTTGAAGCTATTCGGTGCTACCTACCAATCACTCGATGTCCATGATTAAAATAATTTAACGAGCTTCTGTGAAAATCATTGCTCTTGTTCGTTCATTATAACAAAATCGATTAAAAATTTGTTTCGTGTAAAAGTCTTAATAAAAGTTTTTACGTAATAACTAGTAAGAAGGGGGCAAACAAAAAAAAAGAGAAAAAGCATTAAAAACAAATGTTTACGACTTGCAATATCTCTCTCGGAGGAGTAAGTTCTCTTTTTAAAATAATAAGTTTTTAAACAATTTCTTGTGATTTCAAATTTGATCAATTTTACGAATATATTATATTTTGGATTACCTACCGTTCCAAAGGTGAAGGTGCTTGGATAAATGCGGACTTTGTATATTTGTAAAGGCGATAAAGGTATCAGTACAGCTGCGTTGGTGGCGAAAATCGATTTCTCGAGCGGAGATCTTACGTTTCCGTCAAACCTATTTATTATTTTCGAATAGTCCTTATATAACATCTTCCATTTGGGTATGCGTAAAAGGCGTTTCATAATTTCCTCGTCGTCATCGTCCACTATTATCTTTGGCGAGCTTCTTTTACCTTTATTAAAAAATTAATTTTTAAAATGTTAACAAAATTCAAATCTTTATCAATTGAAATATTTAACATAGGCTTACTTAATTGTTCCTTCTGGGACTTGAATATAATATTCACCGTACATTCAACGAAGTAACATCCAACTTTTATTCTTTCGATGCATTTTTTCGACGCGGTCGAATCGTAAGAATCTGCTGCGACATTGAAGAACAACTTGAAGGAACGCTCAACTGTAAAAATAAATTATGAGCTGGAACCTCGCATCAACTCGTTGGGCTACAAGATTCGACAGCAGGTCCAGAGACACGAGCGCGATTTAGTGAAATAACAAAATGCAAAAATTTTTGTTGATAAAATAGAAAATTCATACGGAAGAAAAATTTTAATTACTGCTCTCTTTGCCGCAAATTTTAACAAGAACTTCGATCGACGTTTTCGGCTTGAGCTTCATCCAATTCGGACAACAGTGTGCAGCTGAATTCGGCGCGCATTCTAGATATATCGACGCAACGGCGGAGGGATTTGTCAGACGAAGCACGCGCTGCGATATCTGGCCGACAATTAAGTCTCCAAAATAGAGAATGTCAGGTTCGAGATACAATTGTATCGCTTCCACTTCACCGGAAAGACAAAGCTTTATCACGTCGCAGACTCCTGAATCAGTACTTGACGCGCAGGACATTAACACGGATGAAGTTTCGATTATTGAATTTTCTATTAAAATTTATAATAAAGTAATCAATTACGTATATTACGTTTATTATATAATTATTAGAAATTATTCGAAAAATTCAAGAAAAATCATCGAAAGATGTCATTTATGTATAAAATAAGAATGAAAGCTATATTAATAAAATTTTTTAAGATATAAATTAGTAAAGAAAATCACTTACGTAAGTAAATTCTTTGTAACAATGCATTATCCATCGCGATGTCCTTTACAGAATCAATTCCTGTCAGAAACATTATTTATGTAAAGATTCATTCAGTTGATCTCAATATAAAAAAAATTAAAAGAGACACACTGATGACATCTTCCGATTCTGTACAATGTACCCTGACTATTCTAATAAACTGCATGAAATCGCTATTCTTCCGACTTGGATATTTATTTGCACGTTTCGTCCATTGCCTTTGCTCTTGTTCCTTTCTCTGTTGCGGTAATATATTTATTGGCGAAAATCTAGAAGTATTTATTAGATATTGTCTTTTAATACAACATATTTATTCCTTTTAATAGATTTCATTCAACGATGCGACAGTCGAACTTACTTTACTTCAAAGATGATACCTTGAAATGGATTTAATCGCCCTTCAAGCGGATGTATTTCAAAGACACTATAAGTCGGATATTGCTTGCGATCGATGTCCTGTAAAAATAATTTTAGTGGAATCCACTCATTATGTATGAGTCAGATCGATTGAAAGCGTAAGTCAGGCGGGTTTGAATATAAAGTTTAAATTTATTATTATCCCTATTTGAACAACGTTCTAGATAGAGTTTAACACAGATTTAAATACAGAGTCAAAATAATTACACGTCTAAGATCTTTCAAGCACCGTTTTCGATAATTCGCCACTGGCTAAAATTTCTACTTTGTAGGAACATTTCCCAGTGAGAAATGATCGCCAATTCGATGTCGAATCGACATCAATACGGTGATTTCGACATCGATTCGGCATCGAATTGAAGGCCATTTCTCACTGGGTCGTTTCGTACCCGAATGCATTTTACTTCGTTATCGACTTCACCGAGGACAACGTAACTGGAGGCTCGAGACGAAAGATTACGCAGGACGAAGGTATCATATCTACAGGTATTCTCTACCGTAGGTGGAAAATCGATGAGAGTGAAATCTCCGGTTGCGTTCCGGTGATAAACTACCAATTTCGGTACGATGACGCTCACCTTGATGGGAACGCGGATATTGGGAATAGATTTAATCCTGAAAAAGTTTATACAAATAATTCTTACAATGATAAAAATTACGGTAACGAATAGAAAGGATATTTTACCAAAATTCGCTGTAAAAAGTGCCTTCATTTACGCCCATTAACTCGATTTGAAGCTCTACTTCTTTTTGCGGTTTGATTCTTCCCCGAAGAGGTTTTATTGCTAAGTCTAGATCATTTTGCCCGAGATCAATCGAAAATCTGAAAAATTTTGGAATTTTATCGAATTATTTTATATGAAATACTTCTTTATAATATTCAAGTTTATTTCTCATTTTAATAAAATAGAAATTATTCGAAAAATCTGATTATTTTTATAAATATGAATTAACTCTAATCAGATTTTTACAAATCTAAAAGGCAATATATTTTTTTGTTCTTAAAAGAACCTATTTTCAAGCTATTTTCAGTTTTTCATTTCTTTGTTGTATAAAAGAACATAATTTTATGTCGTCTATAAAGACGACATAAATTATTTCCATAATCAAAAATTATGTTCTTTTATATATAACAATACATTATATACAACAAAGAAATGAAAAACTGAAAATAGCTTGAAAATAGGTTCTTTTAAGAACAAAAAAATATATTGCCTTTTAGATTTTGTTTCTAATGTTAGAAAAATTTTCATAATTAACGCGGATACCTGGTGCTTTTGTTTCCTTCATTACGGATTGTTACTATTTTTATACCGGACGAATAGCCAATGTCGATAGTACCAAAGTCTATTGATTTCGGCTCGATGCTGATATGTTCGGTGGCTAAGATAGATACCACGTGATAATCGAAAACCTTTCCGTTGATCTCGATGGGAATTATTGCATGTGATATGGACGTTTGTTTGAACGTGTAAGTCACATATGTTGTTATACTTAATCCAGGACTCACCCGTATACCACTTTTCAAAGTTTTCACTTGAAAAGCCTGTCGAGAAAGGAAAACAATCAATAAGAATTATTTTTTACTTTATATTTCTTACTTCATGAAGTTTCTTATTTATATAACTTATTCATGTCAGGCATATTTACTATGGAATTTAGCTGACAAATTCTGATAAGCGCAGGTTTATACCCGATGTTCTTGATAGTAATACGATGTCGATACGTAACCCCCTCGAATGCTTCATTGAATTGTATATGACTCGGTGATATGTACACGTCATCGTACCTTATGCCTGTTGCTAACTCATCTGTAGTGAGTGCTGTCTGCATTTTCTGCCCCTCTTGTATCGATACGATCGATTTTTTACGGCTTTTTGTGATCTAATATTAACATAGTAAATCCAGTATATATACGCCGCGCGAGGATTTACGCCGCAGAAGTCAGAAAAAATAGAAGAAATAAAACTAATTTTCTCGCAACCACTCTGTTGCATGCCTTTATGTTATATTAATATTGTGTTGTGATTTCTGTTTTTTATTGTTAATATTTATAAAATTATTGTAAGTTAAATCGATTTATCATAATTGTTTTAATTTTATTATATACTTATATACTTACGGCTGTCGTTGAAAGATTCGTCATGCTGACGTATAAATGTAGAATTGTAACATTTAACTATCAAATAGATATTCACCGATCAGGTAAATTATTTCAAAGATGCATATCTTTAATTAATATCTTCAAAATTATAAACCTTATTTCTCTTTTGACATATTGTCAATATTCATGCTATTCATTTCTGCATTGTATACTCGAGGGAAAATATTCTTTTGTTTTTGGGAAAAGAAAATGATAGAAATGGCATTTAATTTATCGATATGATTGTATCGATAATTTATACAAATAATAGAAACGGCATTTAATTTATCGATATAATTATCTCGATAGCTTATACAAATAATAAAATTTTTCAAATTAGGTATATGCGTGCACATTACACATATGTATACATACGTATACTTTAAGATATATTATTAATTATATATATGTATATATATATATATATATATGACATACACATTTATTATTTAACTTTAATTTTATTTAAATATATATTATAATTGAAACCAATTTAGAGTTGCTTAAACAACGATGTTATCGCTGTTTGGTTGTCGATCAAAGTTAGGTAAGTCGATTGCAGGTACACTCTCAATAACTTCGTGAATCCAATTAGTGTACACCGAAACCTATAATAACATCAAACAAAATGGTATATGTATATGTAATAATATATGTATAATCTATTAATAGTGTAAATTCTGCGATATATTAATTACGTAATATATTCATTTAATAATATTATAAATAACATAGTCTATTAATATAATCAATAATTATTATTATACACAATGGAATATTATAGAAAATACATATAACAAAAAAAGCATTGACAGACTTACTTAAGAATAACTTTATATAAGAATAATTATGTTAATATACCTTCGTGAAAACAGCATAGAAATTCGGATCGCATACGTTGGTACCCAGTTTCCGTGGACTCACGGAAACGACTCCGTGAATTTCCCAGATACTGGAATTCGGTCGCTGAAGCACCAAACCCCCGCCGCTGTCTCCATTGCATACCCCAGTACCATTCGCCCATCCGGCGCAAAAGGAAGTGTAAGTCAGATATTTTCGAAAATCTCTGTTTTGATTTCGGCGACACTCGTCGTCGGAAATGATTTTCATTGTAGTCACTCTCAAGACTGAACTAAACGTGTCGTTCTCCGTTAGCCCCATACCTGAAAAATTTCTCAGGTTCTAGAAACTGTTAAGAAATTCATTTATTGTCGCCAAATTACACGTTAGCGTCTTGAATTTTTAACGCATTAAATAAGAAATTTATAATCTTTTTAAGTAAAAACATTTAATTCTCTCGATAATTTTACTCTCTAACTTTAATAGGTTTTTAGTGCAAGATTCAGATTTACCAGCAACTAATCCAAGCCCACCGTTTCGCTGATATTCCAACAATATCGCGTCGGATTGCCAGGGAACGCAAACCGGTCCGACGGCCGAGTTGATAGTTACAGCTCTCTTCAAAATCAGCAACGCGATGTCCGAGCCGTAATTACTCTCGTGATCTTGATACGCGTTCTGCAGCTCGACGCTTTCCACGTCGATCACCTGCGCGTTTTCCCCTACTTGATTTAAGTCACTCGAGAGAATCCCGAAAGCGACGCGCATCGTGTCCGCCGCGGTTTTCCAGACGCAGTGGCCGGCAGTTAACACGACGCGTTCCGCTATCAACGTACCGCCGCAAAAGAATCTCCATTGACCGTCCTCGTGCGAGAAGAGGGTGGCTTGCCATGGCAGGGTCTCTTCTTCTTTTTCGACGCTCCACCCCTTTACAATCAGTGCTGCCGCTAAGAGTTAACATTTCTTGTACAAGTTAAATAAATTTATATTACTGTTTTATATTTTTTGTGTATTTTTAATAATTTGCATTATATAACGATTAAAAAACTAAGAATACATTAAGGAGTTCTAAAATTTGTGCATTTGCCTCACAAATATGATGATTAATCTTGAACAATCATAATTCATTGGTTCTAAAAATAGAAATTATAATCTTACTTGCTATTAAAAAATTTAACTTTAATTTAAAATTGTTTTATAAATGACAATTATATTAATGTTTTCATTAAAAATGAGCAATAAGTCGATTGTCAAACCTGTGGAGTCCCTCATCCCGCAGACAGGAGTACAACTCAGGAGCGATTGGCTCCACGTACCGTCGTGAAGGCACATAACACTGGAAGATCCTTTACGACGCTCGTAAAACGCTGGGCACTCGAGGAAAACCCGCGAGCCGACCGGGAGGGCCCGGTCGCAGGGCAGCCATCCCTTGTGAGGACCCCACATCGCCTCGCATCGTCTAATCGCATCGTGCGCTTCGGACGGTGCCGGGCACGTTATTCCTTCAGTCTCATTTTCTTCAAATGCATTACGCGATCAATCGTCGATAAATCATTTATTTGACAAATAAGAAAAGTCCCCGTTTTTTTTCTTTGATCGTGGAAAGAACGTTACTTACTGAAGGTGCAACTCGGAATAGCGGGAAACCACCTGTTGTTTTGACAGTAAATTTCACTGGCACCTTGCAGGGTGCCTTCGACGTCGCAGGTGTAATCGAGACGCGTGAGTTCGGGAATAACTTCGCCCGGCCGACATCTCGAGCATCCGCTTACGCTGTAGTGTGTTCCCGCTTTTGCGGCGGGCAATCGGCAGGCACCGTCGGGCAACGTTATCCCGCACAGCGACTCGTCCTCGTCGCTCCAGTCGTGACAGTTAAGTTGAGAGTTACACCTCAGCTCCGGTCGAATGCATCCGCCGTAAGCGCATCGGAACCAATTTTCGGGGCATCTGTAGATGAGGAACACTGGCATTATTAATGATTTCTATATTGTGTAGTGTCACAAACAGTATAGTTTTCATATTTCGGAAATATTGAAAATATAGATACTTCGCAAAGAATTTCTTGTTAAAATAACTTGAATAAAATAATTCGAACTGCAGACCATAAAAATTCAATTTAAAAATCACTGATCCCCTAAAATTGATTAAAAAAATATTTTAACCGTAAAATTAAATATGGAATTACTCGATCGGGAGTTATTCTATGTGTACGTACTCACGTGTTTCGCACAATTTTGCACTTTCATCGGACGCATCTGCGCAATGCCGAGTACCATCGCACACTTTAGCTATCGGTAGGCACTGCCGTCCGTTCTCGCATGCGAATTCTAGGTCTCTACAAAAAAAAATGGGAAATAGACTGTTTCGAATTTTAGCTAAAGACTGTTAAGTCGACAGGAAATAAATTAATTAACCAACCGGCATTCGTACTGCGAACATTCTCGATCCTCACAGTCGGCAGCCGCGCACGTGCTCGAGTCTTCGTCGGTGCCGTCGACGCAATCCTTCACGCCGTCGCAGATCACTTCCTGATGAACGCAACCGCCGTACGAGCAACGGAACGTGTGCTCGGGACACGTATGCTCGCGGCAGACCGTCGCATTTTCATCGCTCCCGTCGGAACAGTCTCTGTAGCCTGATGGAGAAAACGTAAAGATAAAATTTTACAAGTACGAAACGAAGTAAAATTACACTTGTCCTTATATCGCATTGACCTTATGCCGGGTCAACTTAACTCGTTGTCCAAAATTAATCTGACGACTACAGACCGTTGCACACCTGGGCGAAAGGTATGCACTCCTGATAAACGGTAGAACATTGGAAATCTTTGTCGGAACAAATGTCGTCGGCGTCCCGGTCGCAGGCGATCTCGTCGCTGGCGTCCACGCAGTCCGCCAGACCGTTGCATCGCGCCGTGCGACTCACGCAGGCACCGTAATTGCATCTGTACATGTACGTGGGACACCTACGAGAAAGAATTAATAATAATATATAATATTTTCCGACTTCAAATTACTGTTCAAATTACTGGAATATTCTGTCGATTGCGCTGAGAAAAATTGCATAATGCATGCACGCGCGCGCGCGCGCGTGTGTGTGTAACGGAGATATAAGATCCACAAAGGCATTTTTTCCGAGATATTGAAAACACTTTAGCAGAAGAATGCCTCAGCGCTTTGAAATAAAAGAATCGAATAGATATGTAAAAAGTGTCCAAGACTCCTCTCGAGTCTACGACAGAGTGTAAGAGTCGTTAAGTAAAGGAAAAAAAAGCTTTATCTGTGCTTTAAACATTTTATATCTTTCAGTTGGAAGAATATCCGGTTCTTTGCGACGTTCCCTGTTTGGTGACTAATGGCGAAAGTTAACGGGAAATATCTTCTTACACAACGTGACGGCACAGTGTCCCGACTTCATCCGACGAGTCCGGACAATGAGGGATACCATCGCAAACGTCCGCTAATGGCATTACGGTGCCGTCCACGCAAATAAATGTCAATGATGAATACACTTGGCTGCTCTCTTCTGTGGTGGCGCGTATCCTATTAAATCCTGCAAACTCGCGAATATTAATAATGACCACGTCGCGATTACGTCATCACGCACGCAATATCAACGTACTCTTTGACACATACGTCGAGATTAAATATTCTCAATATAACGCGAGTCACTTTACTACGTGCTAACGTACCGAGGATCGTCGCAATTAGTGTCAATGCGATCATCCCTAAAGTGTAACCGCTATTTCCAAAAATTAAAATTAGCTTCTTACGACGCAGAAATAGTCAAACGTAGCCATCGGCAACTGTATATATATCCGTAATTATCTGACGAATTATTCTGACACTCGTACGTGCATAATTTTTATAGCAGCAAGGGAAATTGCATACTTTGTTCGTTCAGTCACAATAGAATATCGTGTGAATGCTGTTTCCCTTATTATCAAAGACAAAAAGACTGTAAAGCATTGTGTTACGTTATGTTTCCAACATACAAAAGTAGGTTCGCGTTGATCATTTTCTTTATCTCTACCGAACGATGAAGGATTCGGAATTAGAGTAAAGTAAATCCTTAATTTATAAAATTTATTTTAGATATGACATTTACATAAATAAGTCTTATAAAAATTAGATTAATGAAATTATGAATTCAACTTACTCTAAATCCTTCAAAATTTTGTTATCGTTGCGTACCGCAAGTTTAGCTTACCATCTTTTATTTATTGATCAAATAAAGTCCTACAATACCTATTGGCTATTGGAGATAGTCAGTTCGTATTATCAACAATTGTACTATCAACAATGTTGACTTAAGATTTACAAATTACACTTCTCAGAACAAATGAATCTTAAGAACCTACGTCAATACTTGTCTTCTCTGTACTAGAAATCCAAGCAGAATTTACAAATTTAAATTGAAACATATTAACAACCATCATTTCGTCTCGAAGGAACTGCGTTCTTTGATATTTAGTCATCAGTAGGCTGACTACTTTCACGGAAAGCTGTCGTCATCTGATAAGCGAGTAATAACGCTGTTGTGTATCTTGGAATACTCACTGACTCAACATTTTTCGTATTGACGTAATTAAATATAACGCCTATTCGTATGGAAATATTAAAGACATTTATTGAGAATTAATGAAAAAAATAAGTATCATGATAATAGATACCAAAATAAAAAAACGACACAATGATTTAAATTTTGTATCCCGATAAGCATTATAATTACATCTCAAACTACCGATTAACCGTCGATGCACTAGGAGTGTGAAAAATTTAAATTTCTATAAATTTTAAAAAATATTAAATTTTAAAAAAATATTACGCGTAAATTTCAAACAAATTAATGTTATGACAATTGGAATTGTCGTACTAAATTAGTATACTTACAATAAATATAGCATGAGATATTCCACATGGTTCGTTATGTTGATTTTTTCCACCTGGTTCACGGAGGGTTAATATAATAAAATTCTCCTAATGCATACTTTAATTTATTTATGTTTAATTACAAATATATTATAATTTATTAATAAATTTCAGTTATATTTATTATAAAATTATGTGTAGAATTTCATCGGCTTTAATACTCTTGAGGTACAAATCCTTCGAAATGGTCTTGTGATAAATGCCATGCTGTTTCCACAATCAATGGGTTGCGGCAAACGATCCAATCTGCGAAGGATAGAGCAACATGGTTACAGAAACCGACGATAGTAATACATCGGTGTATGTGTATATTGGGCGTGTGCGTTCGTTATCGGAGGTTTCTTATCATTTGCTTCATGTGAAGAGGCACACCTAGTTCCTCTTTTGCTAAACGTAGAACCGGTTAAATCGCTCCAGTTCGTATCAAACTGTCGTTGGATATTGTCTCCAGATTAACAATGAGGAATCTCTTTTGGGTAATTTTGCTCGTTGCAGTTGCACGTGCGCAAGAGACATGTAAGTGAATTTGTTTGATCGAATGTTTGATTGAAATGACCTATTTACTATTTAAATGCAGAATTAAAAATTCAGAAGCTATTTAAAATTGCATGATAAATGCGATTTTATCATCAAATATCTTATATTAATGAAGCTCTTTTTAGAAAACATGTTTTAATAGCTTCTTAAATATGTAATATTAAATATTCGGATTTAGTTTCTCCTGTATTTTCTGAAAATATTCCGCAAATAAAAAAATTAATCTATTATAAATTTGCTGAAAGCTTTATGTGTCGTGGCAAAGTCCGATTCGTTACGTATTGATAATGAGATTAATCGAGATATTACTCATATTAGAATTATACACAAAATATAAAATATATGCAACTTTTTTAAACAATTTATATTATTGTACAAGATAGTAGAATGTATAGATATCAAAATATATATCAAAGTAAATAATCAAATCATAATGACGCGATAAATATGTAATAATTAATATTACCATTTGTACATAAAAAATTAAAAAAAGAACAAAAAATGATATATATTTAAATACACGAAAGAAAATTACAAACAGTGATTCAGTGAACGGCAATTCCAAAAAAGAATTTTTTCAAACTTTATATTTATATTAAAAGAAAAGATAAAATAAAAAATTTACATATAATATGTTCATTTTCATCCAGTTAAGATGTGTGAACATTTAAGTATACGATTAACTTTTGAGAAGTTTGAGTCAGCAATATGTGATAACACTTATTCTTTGCATTATTAGACATTATCGCAAACATCAGATAAATATATATCTTGAGAATGATCAAATTATACTTGATTGCAATTGATATAACATGATATCTTAGTAGATATAAAATATGTTACAGTTATTATTTCATATTATATGTAATATTGATATAATATTACGTAAAGCACACCAAGGTAATGCATTGCCTAAAAGGATTAATATATCTATATCGTTATAAAGTTAATCTGTTTTTGTCTTAAATTTTTATGACGCTGGATACATCATAAACTGACAAAATGAAACTTGATGATGCAGTAAAATGCAGAAGATCAAATATCTAAGATAATGATAACACTTTAAGAATTATCTTAATTAAAGAGAGCTTGAAGTAAATTCGAACCAAATAATCGATAAAAATATATAAATATTTAAAATATACAAAAGATTAAAAAATAAAGAGTATTTCGACAAATCATTTTCTCCTTCTTATTTTTATATAATCAATTATCTAGTTAAATCATGTAATTGAATTATTTCTACTTTGTTCTTCTTCTTTTATTTTATAATTTGATGATATCTAGCGTCAAAGTGTTGACACATCTTGCCTGGTAACTGAGCTTGCATTATCGATTGATTTGCGATTTTTCAGACAAATTCTGCGCACCTGTCGACGTGGTAAGCGATACAGCGTGTTTCGCTCTGCAACGAGGAGACGTAGTATCGTGTTTGAGCGTTGCGGACAGCGCCGAGTGCGCTATTCGCTTAGCTCAAGGCGAAGTCGATTTTGGTGTCTTCAATGCGGAAGAATTGTTGTTGGCATATCAATTCTATCCATCTAACATCCAACCTATTCTTCAACTGAGGCATAAGGAAAAACAGCTAGGTAGATAGAACTTTGAGAAGAATTTATATAATAAAATTATTACACTTGCTGCGACATTATATTATTAGATGTACAGACGAGCGAAGCTTGAATTCGATTTATAATTAGCAATAAATACGAAATTATTAGATATCAATGCATATAAAATTTTATCGAGTTAAAAATCAATAATTAAAAACACAATATTAATAATAAGCAATTAAAATGTATTCTTTAAACATTTTTAAATATGACTTTTCTGAAATTACATTACCACTAACAATCTTCTCTGTAACTTAACGGAAACCCAAAATCAAAAAGTTTTGACCCGTATTTTTTAATAGTGTTTTATCGAGTATTAAATAAACGTTAAATTGATTGATTATTAAAATAAATATTAAAATAATAACTGCAGTATTTTCTTAAATTGTTGAAAGCAAAAACCTAAATTTAGTTATATCGCACGTTTAAAAAAATACATATATTAACAAAATTTAATTTTTACAGAGGAATTTGAATTCAAAACGGTGGCAGTGATTCCCAAAGATGATATGACACAGATTGAACTACCTCCTGGCGAACGTCTCAAACGTTTGAGAAATAGTGGCTTTTGCCATCCTGGTTTCAGCAAATCTCAATGGCTGAATGATTATATTCTCAAGTATTTTGAAAACAAAGTAAACCCTCCACAGTGCCAAGATGACGTGACCATTATCGAGAACGAGATCAGAAATCTCAGGAATTTCTTTGGAAAAGCTTGTAGGCCAGGTGAATGGGCCTCTGATAGCTCTTTCGATCAACAGCTAAGTGAGTCGATTTTTTTTATGTTGAAATGAACTTATTTTTTTGATTTTACATCAATTATATTAATTATCTATTATAAGCTTCTACTTAAAAAAGAGAAAATTTTAAATTATTTTAAAAATAATATAAGTTCAAGAATAACTGTTTTAAAAATATATATTATCAATAAATAATATAATATTTCTTAGAGAGGAAATATCCAGAATTGTGTGCTCTTTGTGACAACAAATCAAATTGTAGTTACAATATTAAACAGCATCACGGACATATCGGAGCTTTGCAATGTCTAACTCGTGGTAATGGTAAAGTGGCATACGCAGCGCTTCAGTACGTTCAGGAATACCTCGGAGTAAGTAAGAATATTTCATTTCTTTATTTAAAAAACGGTTACAGTCGCAATCCGTATAATTACCATGTACAGTTATTAATTATATTAATTACTTCCTGTATGTTCTAGAGAAATTCATCGTATCAATTTTTATGTCCAAATGGCAACGTTCTTCCTTTGTCCACTGAAAGCCCTTGCACATGGGTCAGACAACCGTGGAGCGTCGTCGCAGCTAGAAAGTAAGCGAGCAGCAGCATGGATAAATGAGAAGAAAAGCTCTCCTTTTTATTTTTCGAGAATATATTCTGAAAATTGCACAAGTTTTATTTAGGCTCCTTTTTAAGAATAATTCGCTTTGGATATATTTTGATTATAATTCTCTTTCTTCAGAGACATCGCAGACTCTCTTAAGTCTAATTTGTTCACATGGATAAAACATCCGGAGAAAGAGCAATGGAAAATTACTTTAAGACAACTTATAGAAGAGGATAGCTCGGCTTACGAATTGGAGAAAATATCCATGGCTTCGTACTTGAGCAAGGGAAGGGACATCGATATCGAGAACATTCAAACCTGCGGCAAGCACATTCGTTGGTGCACGATCGGCGATCTGGAGACCAACAAGTGCAAGTGGGTGGCGAAAACGGCGAAGGCTCTCGGTGTGTCGCCGAGCATTTCTTGCATCAATTCAAATTCCACGTTTCAGTGTCTCCACGATATACAAGAAAATCGAACAGACATAATGGTCATTGATTCCAACTACGGTTTCCTGGCGCGAAAGTAAGCAGAAAATTTAAAGTGTCGACGAAACTTTGAGAAACAATTATACGTGTGTGAAATTATGGTATTATTTGACATTTTCTTTTTTCTTTATTTTGCTTGCAGCGTTTATGGCCTGTCAACCATTCTATACAGCGAAACCGAAATGGATAAGAACAGCGTGACAGTCGCGGTGGTGCGTGAGCCTAGAGGCGACAATTATCCCATAAAGAGCTTTCACGATTTAAAGAACAAAAAGGCGTGTTTCTCGGAGTACGGCGGACTCAGTTGGTTGAGCTTCATCAATGTCGCTAGGACCAACAATATCATCTCACCTAAATCCTGCGACTATCCGTTATTGGTGTCCAGACTCTTGTCTGGCGCTTGTGCACCCGGAATAAAAGATTCCGATCACTCGCGCACCGGCGTCCCCCCGGACGTGGCGTCCAAACTGTGCTCGGCTTGCAGATCACATTATAATACTACGTCCTGTGAAGCGAACAAAAATAATCGCTATTACGGTGACGTAGGAGCTATGAAATGCATCGATGAAGGAGTCGGTGACATAGCGTTTATCGAGTTGACAAATATTCATGGTAAAAAGCAATCAATATTATTATTATTAATAGATATATAGAAGCATAAGAAACATTTCTGATCAATTTTTTTAATTTTAGAAATCAATATTTTGCTGAATATACTTTCAATTTATCAATTTTTTAAAATATTAACGCGATTATCTTTTTTAATTTTTTTTTGGTAATATTTATTTTAAAATTGCAGCTTTTTATTCGTGATCATAGAAAATATCTTTGTTTAAAATTTGAATGATGCTATGCACTAGTATTAATATTTTTATTTAAAATAATCAATAATTATTAAATTATTATTATATAGGCCTCGTCGATTCGGAAACGGATAAATACCGTATTTTATGCAAAAATGGAAGCTTGGCCAAAAATGCAGGATTTAAGATTGATGAACACTGCGCACTATCGGAGACCATCGACAGTGAGGTAAATAATTTTTTTGAAAATAATTTAATATTAAACAAAAATATTTACATTAATCATTTAAATGTATCCATTTAAATGTATGTATGTATATATAAAGTAAACTCTTTATACATAATTTAGTCAAAATTTTCTATGGAAAAATTAAGAAATCGAATATTTCTGTTAAATATTACCGATTTAGTAATTGTACTATTTTACCGTTAATTGTTGAGTACGAAAGGTTTATGTATACGAAAGTAACGAAAAATATACTGATACAAGGCAAATCAAAATGTCAATTTTGAGATATATGAAAAAGATTATATAATGTAAACGTCAATGTTTAACATTTCTTTTGCACAAATCGAATAAATTGTAATATTCTATCAGGTTATTGGTAGTAAGAGAGATGCCACGCAAATCTCTAGGACAGATATTACTCTGGCTCTATTAAAGCTGGAAGATTGGCTAGGATATCGCGTAAACGCACGAAGACCAATTCACATTTACGGACCATTCAACGGCACATTAGATCTTCTCTTTAAAGATTCCTCGGCCGGTTTGGTTTCCACATCGTCGGAGAAGAAGTCGGTGCTTGCCTATAAAGAGCTTTTGAATCACGTCGAGACGTGCTCCAAAGGTTCTTTCGCGACCACCGCTAATTTCATCTTTGTAGCCCTGGTCGCACTTTATCATCTTCTTTCTGGTCACGTACACTAATTTTCTCTGCATTGTATTAATTTCAACATTTACAATATTTACGTAATATCTACGCAATTGTCATACATTATACTTTTAAATGTAACTTCTAAGCGTTGATCATTTTTTGTATCTTTTACAAAGAATAAAAGCACCATTCCTACATTCCTTTATTTTAGACACTAGAATAAAAAAAGCTATTATTACTTTTCTACTAACTGAATTTTTATTCATGTAATATAAACCTTTTAGTACACATGTACATACATATAGGGTAAAGTAGCGTAATTTGGTCATAGCGTAATTTGGTCAACAACATTTTTTATGCGCTGCAGTCGCACTTGACAGTTGTCGTTTATGTCATTAAATTGTTATTGTATTAGCTCACTTTTGACTAAATACAGAGCTGAATAGATGTGTTAATTTTTGCTCGACAGAGATCGGAAGAGCACA